GATAAGACTGGAAGGTTGGTGCTACAGGAATGCCGCCTTGTTTCCTAGGCAAGCGCTGCCCTCTGGTTTTTCTGTGTCCTTACCTCACTGACTGTGGTTTTGTCCTTTTCTCGTGTGGGGTATAAGACATTTCTTAGGACCGTTTTAGATTCTGTGTTTCTCAAGAAGGTGCAGATACCAGTGCTGAGAATGTCCAGTATGTACAGTTAGGGGAGGCTTCTCTGACTGTACCGTAGAGAGAAAAATGCCTTTTTCTTTGGACCAGTGCCGTGCAGCTCAAATGAAAGCCCTTTTCTTGCTTTGCATTGCGCGTGTGCATTTATTTAGCAATCTAAGCCTACCATTCCTAGAAGGTCGGAGCAATTCCTTAATTCACAGAAAAAGCGAGGTAATTATTCCAAATTAAATAAAAGTGTTAATATTAAAAATTAAAAGCTGTTTTATTGTATACAAGTTGTTTAAACCTTGTTTCCTTTAAAATACAGTCACACTGAGCAGCGCTGTCTGCCCAGTGTGATACTTGGTGCCCAGATACCTGAAGGAACTTAAGAAAGGTTGTATGAAGGGCAGTATTTTCTTACTTGGCAAACTTAAATTTCTGTAATCGTGTACTAATACCACACCTTTAACCTTCCCGCTAAATATTAATGTTTCACATGTTTTACTTGATTCCACTTTTCACTCTTTTCTGTGCAATCTGTGATTTTTATTTTTTTGTAATTGCTGACTGTTACGTTAACTTTGGCTGTTCATGTGGCTTTACAAACTGTCTTGCAGATCTTTAGATCTGAAAGATACAGCAGCAGTCACATATGGAGCCTAGTCTTTAGCTGTGATAGCAGTTTGCGAAACTAGATGGAAATGAAGAAAGTTACAGCTAGGTCTAGATTTCTAGAAAAATTGGAAGCTGAAGCTGTTGCTCAAAATATTTGATGTGTATTTATGAGTTTATTTACTTTTGTAGGGAATTTAAAGCATATCTTTAGTATAAACCAACAAATATAAAATATATTTAAGATGTTACAACAGTTGACTGGGTGATCTGGGGTTGAGAATTTGTCTCCAGGAGAGAATTTCACCACCGTTCTAGATCTTAGTTTTACAGCTTGATATGAATTATACAGAGCAATGCATGTATTTTTGTTTTCATTTCCAACTGTGTTGTTTGTCTTTTTCTAATAAGGAACTGAACTGTACAAGTGGTTCGATAAAGTCTTTCTTGTTTTTATGAAAAAATATAGCTGAATTACTGGAATTTCACTGTACTTGGAAAAAAAAAAGCAACTTTAAGTTTTTAATTAGTGCTTTTTAAATTGCCTTGTGAAGTGTCTGCCTTCAAAATAAGTTTTCTACCAAAGCAGACACTATTTTTATTAGAAAATGACTTTGTCAGCATTGGCCTATCAAATGAAGACGGGCTGTGTTCTTTCATTTTTAAGCCTTTCTGCAATACTGTTCAGGAAAATTAATATGGTCTTGCAGAAATAGCAAGAGCATAGTTTGACATGGTTTCATTATTTTTCCCAATCATAATGTTCTTCCCTTCAATAGCTTTATTTAGACTCTTATATTAGTCTCAAGATGTTAAATCTTCCAAATATGGAATTACTGCTCGATTTGATAAGTGAAGGACTAGATTCTTCCCTGTTTGCTGATGCCTGTTCAGAGCAGAGCTGTAGCAATCAATGAACTGACACTAGCTTAAAGTTCAGCGTGGAGCCTAGTGTTGAGGCTGATAACTGATTTTAAGAAGACTAGGGTCAGATCAGAGCGTAGTTTTTAACCTTACTTTCGCAGATACCAGAACTATGTTTTGAAACTACAAAAGCAACTTTTATTTGTTGTTCTTTCGTGTTTTGTTAGTCGGTGGGTTCTTCCTGTATGTATGGGCCGTAATCTATTAATATAGAACAGGTCTGATAAATTATTTCAGGTTTTGTGGTTACAGGTATTTGTTCTCTTTTTATAGGTATGTTTATCATAGCTCCAAGTGGATGGTGGCTGGTAATGCTGATTCCCCGGTACCGCCTCGTGTTTATATTCACCCCGATTCACCCGCCTCTGGGGAGACGTGGATGAGACAAGTGATCAGCTTCGACAAACTGAAGCTTACCAATAATGAGCTGGACGATCAAGGGCATGTGAGTACTTGCTCTTCTGCAGTATTATATGTAGGCACATTGCTCAGCCCTGAAAGACTCTGACGTACAGCTTCAGGGTGCCAGAAATAGGCTTGACTTTTTAAAGTTGTTTTGGAACCTTACCGTCCAGATCTAAAATCTGCTTACTTTCTGCTCTGATAATTAACTGCTTATTAGAGCCTGCTGTTTTACTCCCCCCTCAAAAACAGAACCCCTTCTGCAAAGTCAGACTTTACAAGGCTAGATTGCCTAATACGAAGGGGCAGAATTGCTCTCATGTTTTCCCACCGAGCGTGTTACTTGCAACTTCTGCTCCGATCAAAAAGGACGCTTAAATTCACAAGTGGCTAGAAGAAACATTAATAGTGTGTAATAACTTCATGTGAATAAAAATGCACTTAACTATTTTCTTAACCTAAACATTTGTGTGAAATCCCATGAGGTGTTAATAATTGCAGTCAAAAACGAACAACATGGGAGCTGGGTTCGCCCCGATAATGATTTATTACATACCTTATGAAGCAAGACCCTTTCACAGCTGAGGCTCATTACTTCTGAAAAACTGGCGAAGACGTTTGCAGTATGAGTGTTCTGTTTGCAAGTTCTAAATTGTTTAGTTATGACATTATCTAATGTGACAAAATGTGTTATGTTAATATTTCCTTTTCTCTTCAAAACTGTTGAAACATGACAGATGTAAGCCAGTATCTTTCCAGCAATCCCTAAAATAGTTTTACTTGACACCTTAGGAAATAATTAAAAAATGAGAATTGTTTTTGGTCAGGATGAAGTCTTTAATTTTGCAAAATCCCATAATAAATGGCAAATGTTGGCTTCCTTTCAGAAGGAGCATCGAGTTCCAAGTGGTAGAGTTTTAAGATGTTGGAGGCAAGTTTTGAGACAGGATGTAGATTCCATTGTCCTTAGTGTAGCCCAATTTATTAACCAGGGTGCTTTCTCCTTCATGGAAGGGAGTGAAAGAAAAATGTACCTGGCACAGAGTACAAAGATACTACACGCATCTTTCAATATAGCTGTAACTCCGTGACATTAAGCCAGGTATTTTGTCGATACATAGTCCAAGTTTAAGTTTGAGATTCTTTTTCCCCACGTTTTATGTTTGCAAAGGAAATTAACATGAGACTGTGTTCAAATTGTGCAGGAGCTACAACTTTTATGTTACAGAGGCAGGAATACAGGAGACTGACTGGGCTGAGCTAGTGAATGCGGTAGCAAGGATAAAAAGCCTCCCTTTTGTGTAAATACTCTTCATAATTTTATCGTGCTCTTCCTTAAAAAGAACAGGGGGATATTCTTAAGTTAGCAACGCTTTTCTTTAGGCTTGTAAGAAAGACGTTTGATATCGCTTCTTTCCAGAATTACAGTTATGGGGTCTCATTTGGCAGTGTCCGTTTGAGTTAAGGTGAGCACATGTAGTTCCCTTAGTTTCCCCCGCGTTCGTGTGTTTGTGACTCTTCTCGAGTGGGCGTTGCTTTCTCTGAGTCCCGAGTCTATTGTAAAGGCTTTAAAAAGTGAAGCGGGTGCGAAGAGGTAAAATGCCGCTTGTCCAACAGAGCGCAGGCCGGCTGGTTGTTGTACTCGGTCGTTTCAGCGGGGCGATGGCGTGGGTACTGTGGTCCACCTGTGCACTTGCAGTCGCAAACTGCCCTGTGATAAAGTCTCAGCTATGCAGAAAGTTGTATTGCTGTATTTTTCCATCCCAGATCTTGGCTTTGTTTTTACTCTGAACTGAAACCTGTGTAGTGTACACAGCACGCCATTATTCATAATGTGGGGGGATATAAATTTTCTGGTCTTTAGTTAAGTGTTTCGATTTGGAAACTAGTGAAGCAAAGCCCTAGTACAGTGATTTGAGACACATTGAACTGATTCAGAGCTACGGCAGCGCCCCTCCTCCCCAAAATGGAAGTTTAAGTATTAAAATAAAAGGACAAAAGAAGGATGACTGTAAAATAATTTCGTATTTCTCAAATCTGGGAAATTGCAAACATGTCATTCATAATTACCAGAAAAGGCAAAAGCAGAAAGCAGAAAAGTGTCTCTTCCAATGGGTACATTTTTTCTTTTAAAGCTATGGTAGTGTGGAATGCTGTATTGAAAAAGCTATGTAGCCTCTGAATGCCTCCAGCAATAATGGAAAACGAATAATCATATTTTGTGATGAATATAAAAAACAATTGTTTCTCATAAGCAGGAAGGAACCATTTTTCACAAGAGCGTACTAGGGGAGGGATGGGGGATTAGGAGAGCTAGGGGTCAAGGCTGTACTGTCCCTCAAATATTTGATTTTACATCAAATGTTCTGACTCTCCCACCCCTGTATGGGAGATGGAGTATATTTTAGATTATTAGGACGTTAGAGGCCTTTTCCTCTCCTCCTTAGGCAGAATGGCTCAGAGAAACCGTGGTGGGGTCTTTACACTCTGCCATCATTCCTTCAGTAGGTCACGCAGTGTTGGACTTTAGCTGTTGCTCTTTGGATGTGCTTTCCGTGCTGTCTGGTTCCTTGTCAGAATTGTTCTTTTATTTTTCCTGTGCTCCTCAGAGATGTCAGCTTTTGGAGAGTTTCCGTGTTAAAACCCCAGGGCTAGGTTTTGATCTTGCAGGTGTTGAGGTAGGGAGCTCATGTGCGATCAACCTAGAGCCCTTTTACCTATTCTAGAGTATTAACTTTCAGAATCAGTGAGAGAAGTGACCCATGTCCATGGGAATGGGGACGGTATTTGCAGACAGACGCTGAGGTAGTATTCCTGTGCAGTATTTATATTGTGGTATAGCTCATGGCAGCCAGCTCTCCTTGCATTGTGTTGCCTGGGATTAGCTGCTTGTGAAAGGAGATCAGCCATCTCTGAGACGACTTGCTTCGCTGCTTGAACACTTTCTGGGCTCCTTGCTGCCTGCTGCTATTTTCATCAGTATTTTGAGTGGGAGTTTGTGACGACGTAATTTTATAGCGCTGTTCTGCGGAGAGATTTTGAAGTACATCTGCACGTAGGACACTCTCTGATACATGGGTTCCACTTGCAGGCTGAGGAGATCAAGCAAAATTTGTAAGGATATGTTTTCCTTGTGTGTTTTTAATCTCAAAAGGGAGTCCGAGGGTGAACCCTACTTGGGAAAGATTGTGTGCTTATAGAGGCATTAAGGCCCGATGGCATCATTAAGACATGTACTGTGGCATTTGTGTCTTTCATCTGAGTTGTGATGGTAAGGAAAATAGACCTGCATTTTGCAGTTGACACTGAGAAGTGCATGGTCTGGGCCCCCTTTGTTAATGCCTCTCATCCCTCTCTTGTCTGTGGAGTAAGTGCTGCATTGTAAAAGCAGTCTCTCCCTCCGGCTGGTTAGAGCTGGCTGATTTTTCTATTTTGATGCAGTTTTTAATCTGAATTTCAGTAGAGGGGAAAAGTCAATATTTTTTATGCTATTTTCCATGCTTTTCAACTGAGCATTTTTTGATGCAGAGGCACATCTTTTAACTTTTAGTGAAAATGAGGCTGTTAGCCTGTTAATTGTTCCTTGGTGGTTGGCGTTTTTTTTTCCCCATTGGAAAGTGGGGTGAGGCTGGAAGCAGAGGCGGACTGTTACTCTGCCCAGACTTGGCTCCAAGTAGCAAGCTCTGCTTACAGTCAATGCCTAGTTATATGTTCTTGTCACAATGAAAAGCTGGGAAACATCGGCATTTGCACTTGCAGTTTTTGTCTTTGTGAAGAGGGAAGCTGTGCTGCTCGGCCCCATGCTCTTCCCTGACTGCAGAAAGCCTGAATGCATGGGCTTTGCAGGGAGGATAAAGGAGGATTTTTGGTGAAAACAACGGCAAGGTGAGGACCACGCCGGTGGTGGGGAGGTAGCTGGGTAATTGCACTGCCGAGCTGCCGGGGAATTGGCATCTTCCCCACGAAAGGGTCAGGCTCTCGCTTGTGCTGGCTGTGACGTTTGTGCCACAGCGGTACCCAAGCTCAGGGTCTGCACTGAGCCCTCATCATGGCAGCGTCTCTCAAAAACCATGTTGTGAAGGTAATCCTGAATGTAATCCCAGCGCTGTGTGTCTGCAGGTGCCTTAGCCGCCTTTGCTCTGCCAGGCTGTTGCCTTGCCCTGCCGCCTACCTGCGGGCTCCCCGCTGCAGCGTCTTCCGTCTGACAATGATGTCTTGACAGCTGCAGTGGTCAAAGTGCAGTTCTGCCTTCGGTGTGGCAGCTTTATTCCCCCACAGCATTTTGGTTGTGCCTTGTGAGGGATTTGTAGAGAGACAGGCAATTTCACTGTGAGTTTAAAGTGATGCCAGTTCACGTTTGGTGGGGTTTGTTCTGGTTGGGGTTTTTTATTGTTGGCTTTTGAGGGTATGAGGGGAAAGTTGCTGCTTCTGCAGATAAACTGTTAGATCTCGATTGCGCTGTTAGATGTGCAAGCAAAGCAAAACGAAGAGCCATAATCTCCTTTTTCTTAGCTTTTTCTTCACTGTAGGTTTAGGTGATGCCTAGAATAATAGAGCTAAACTGTTTTTGGAATGAGTGTTGCAACTCCCTGTCTTTTTATGTCCCATCTTCATAGTGTTGCTCTTCAATTCACCCGGGCTCTGCATTTATGTATTATTTATTTAGAATTCAGAGTTCTGATCATTAATAAAGAGCCCATTGTACAAGGCACAGTACAAAATCAAAAAAATATGCCTGCTATGGATTCACTAATTGTCTAACAGTGTGTCAGCACAGGAAATTTCAGTGTAGCACAGAGCCAAGGCAGGCTGCTGTTAAGAGATGAGAAGGATCAGTTTAGCTGTAACAGCCACCCGGATAAGGAGTGGGAGGTGTTCATCTCTGTGCTGCTGTGACTTCACTTGTTCCGATACATGAGCAGAGCTGTTTGTAGCTGCCTGGGTTATCACTGCATATGGTCAAGTCCACTGTGTAGGCCAGTGGTAGTTTGCAGTGCAGAGCTGATGGGGTGAAGTAATCCATGTGGGAGCAGAACACGGCACGCTCAGTGGCACCCAAGAAAATGGGGAGACTCAGAATAGCGGTGAGTTTGAACAGTGGAACAGAGCTTTCCTTGATCGTTTTTTTCTGTTGCACCAGTACCTCCCCTGGTATCACTGGGTGTTCACAGGAAAACAGGGTCAGGAATGTGCTGTCCTCTGTACATTTTCATTTTGTAGATCTTTGCCAGTGGAGAACTGAAGGTAGTGTTGTAAAAGAGAATACACATTTGCATGATAAAAATCTTGTTCTGTGAAAGATTTCAGAAACTGGGAAAAGGCTTCGTATGAGAACATCCATGGGGCACTCCCTGAGCAAATTAATTGGAGCCTGTGATGTCACTGTCAAAACCTTACTTACAGGCTAATAAACCCCCTGATTATCCAGAAACTTGGCTTATCCAAAACAGGGTCATGTCAACTGGCCAGGACCAAGTACATTAAACTAGCCAAACTCTAGTTTATCCAAATGAATGTAATGTCCGCTATGTCATTTGGATGAATGAACTTCCATGGTGTCTGGCATAGGGGCTCCGTTGAGTGCCTGAGTACATGCACATTCTGAGGCTACTCAAGGAGCAGGAAATTAAAAAGCTTCCCCTGAATGTTGATTAGGGGTTCCACAGGCCAATAGCCACAGGACTATTTATTTATTGAGTTACTAATTTCTTAGGCCTTCCAACAATAATAGTTCGAGCTTCCAATTATTTTTTTTTCTCGAAATCTTCTATTTTAGTAGTGGTTAGCTGAAGTGGAGTAAAATAGAGGGAAAATTCTGTATTTTAAATCTCCTGTAAAATTTGGGAACAATACCAAGAGGTATTTTTGTGCCTAGTTTTATGCACTGTGAGTTCGTATACTTCTTGTTTATACTTTGTTGTTATGTATGTTGGGAGGGGTTTGTGTATTGATATTCATTGTCTGTATTATAAATCAAGGGTTATTAACACTTCAAAGTTTTGGATTTTGGTATTATTTTACTCTTAAGTTTATGTTTCTTCTGGGTGTGAGAGTCTTGGCTTGCGTTCAAAACAAGGTATGTTTCGAGCCTTCAGGATATCAGGAAAAAAATTGCTCCAAGTATATCCTAAAGGCTCCAAAAACAAAAGGCAAATGCTGCTGCCATTAATCCTGTTAGATCACATCCAGGCTCCAGTGGAGAAAAAAGTGACAAAACTTTCCTAATTCCACTGCGACCAGTACTTCACTCCTGATTTTTTTTTTTTTCTGAGCCAGTCTCAATTGAGCCAGTCTCTGAATTTGGAGCTCCTGGGTCGTAATTTTTAAATGCTTAGGGTTGGCAATAACATAAATGCACAGGGATTAGACTACTGTAATAAGAACCTTCAGAGGTTAAAGAAAACATTTGATTTCCAGTAAGTGGCATGGTAAACACATACCATAATCTGTTCCAAAAAGCTATTAGTCCTGAAACAGCAGGGTGTCCTTTCTAATAAATGTTATCTTTTTCCTTTCATGACTGCATAGATTATCCTTCATTCTATGCATAAATACCAGCCTCGTGTCCATGTCATCCGAAAAGACTGTGGAGATGATCTGTCCCCTGTCAAGCCTATCCCTTCAGGAGAAGGGGTGAAAGCTTTCTCTTTTCCAGAGACAGTTTTCACTACTGTCACAGCATACCAAAATCAACAGGTAACTTCAGCTTTCTGCTTAGCACTTTACAGGCTTTTCAGAGTAGACGAGAGAAGTAAGAGATAGGAGAAAAGCAGATATTTTTATTATATCACTTAATAAAAAGCACTGACTAAACCCTTTTCATATTACAAGTAGCTTTCACTAGTCGTATTGCAGCAGCGCCTGGAGGCTATAGCTGAGACTTCAGACCATGTGGGCTAGATGCTGCATGTAAAAAGTCGTTCTTATTGTGGAGATCACACAGTCTAATTGGCACAGTTAATGGTGTCTTAATTATAAATACAGCATTGAAGCACAAGGCAAAGAGCTGTCTAATTTTTAAAGGTGTTTTTGTACCTTTAAGTGTAGATACATGCCTGGATAGAAGCAGTTTTGTTCCTAACTCCGGTGATTCCAAAACTCCCAGGACCTTAACAGAGACGCTGAGGTCTGAAGAAAATCGCAGTAGTTTTCATTAACTGCATTCAGCATATATTACTAACTGCAGTTTATCTGGGTCCACACAGATTTAAAGTCAAAAGTAAACTGTAGGTTGCGTGACTCCAGTATACAGCTCTTATTACCACTTGTTTAAGTATTAACCTACACAGTGACACCATAGTTAGTCTTGTGACATTTTATTAACTCCATGTAATTTATTGCAGCTAAATTTTGGGAAACGATGTTAGGCCTTGCTGTCTTTACAAAGAGAAGAGCAAGAGAGCCATGGAAATACTGAAATATAATTATTTGGTGCCTATCCCATTTATTTAAATAATTTTCAAATATTTGGGGGTGGGTGGGTGGTGTGTGTTTCTGTTTTTTTTATGGAGGATAATAGCCTGGAGAGAATCTCTTCTTTTCATATTTCCTTCTTGACCCATATAGAAATAAAATTTAATTTACATTTTATTGCAGTTAGGCAGTGTACTCTCTTAGGTGAAGAATGACATTTACCAGAGGATTTTTCTCAAAGATTCCAACCTGCCATTTGGTAGCATTAAACACGTATTAGCTTCTCTGAGGATTTGCAAAAATAACGATCAGAAGGCTGGTCCTTACTTTGCTGTGTTTCAGGGCAACTGTCTTAAAGTGTGCAAATGTGAAGATGTTCCTACTCCACTGTTGGCTTAATTCTGTTAGAATAGTAATTTTGTGTGTTACTCAGATGAATTTGCAGGTAATGATTTCTTTAATCATCTCCACAGATAACTCGTCTGAAGATTGACAGGAATCCATTCGCCAAAGGGTTTAGAGATTCGGGACGTAACAGGTAGGTGTTGAGGAAGGAGGTGGGCTTGTTACTGCTGACAGAGTTGGTTTGTGACAGCTGGTAGAGGGAAATACCTGTATTTACAGACAAATTAATCTGAGGAGTCCGACTCCCTTATGGAGCGCTTAGGTTTCCCAGTAGTGTTCTCTGTGGTGGGCTCCTGTTCCTACTCCTCTAACCGTCTAGGTCCAGAATGGGTTGGCACATGGCTTGACTCATGTACTCAGGTTTCCTTTCAGTGGAAGCGGTGGCATACCGTGAAGGCTGCAAATGGAATTAATGCATACCCAGGTCTGTGATTTCAGGCTGCTCCTGAAATCTTCTCTTTCTCATGGCTGGAGACAAAAATTACAGATACCAGTGTCAAACTATAAGCCCAGGCTTTCTTGCACGTAAGTGGCACGTTTAGTATGGATGAATGGCTTGTTGTTTTCTCTTAAAGGGGGAGAAACTACATTGCCTCTTGAAATAACCTTATGTTTAGTACATTTGCCTAGGAGGTGGGAGACCTGTGTTAAAGTGTCTCTTTAGCCTCAGTTTTAAATCCACTTCCTAGGTGAGTGTCTGTCCTGCTAGGCTATAGATGACCTTGAAATGAGCCTGGTTTCTACCTCTTCTGTTGTGGTTGGACTGGTTAATAGCTTGTTCTCTCTTGATCCATGAATCTTTCAAAATATCAGTGGGAAATCTGAGTAGCGCAAAGTGGAGACTTGGGTCTAGTCCCTGCTGCCGGTATTGATGAGGTATTTTATCCAAAGACTGTTTAATGCAAAGTACTTAAGCCTGTTATGAATTGTATGTTAAACCATTTCAGCTAAAAAAAGCAGCATTTAATTGTGGTGTGTATTATACATCAGTTCCAATGACCACATTGCCTTCAGTGTCTACAGTGGCTGTATTTATGACCTAGCCTTGCAGAGAAGGGAGCAGGCTGTGTGCTGGTAGGAATGCTCCAAGAATCTCTTTGGTAGCTGCTTTATTGAGCTTCTCCTTTAGCAGAGGCTACAGCATTAAAGCCTCGTTTGTGGTTCCACCTGAGCTACATAAATGCTGAGACTGGACGGCAAATGAGCGTAGTTTTTAGATGAACAGTTACGGAAGGGGTGGGGTAGTTGTAAAGATTTATAAGAATTCACTGTAAGGATCTTTTCAGTTTGTGCGTAGTTTTTAGATGAACAGTTACGGAAGGGCTGGGGTAGTTGTAAAGATTTATAGGAATTCACTGTAAGGATCTTTTCAGTTTGCACACTGCCTTTGCTGCTCTCTAAAGTTTTTCTTCTTCTAGCAAGAAACAATTGGCCGTGCTCTGTCCTGGGACCTGGAAGGGGTGCCCCAGGCACCAGCAAAAATGGACTTTTGTCTTACTTTGTAGCCTTCTAGTTTGAAATTAAGTGAACAGTAACTTCCAGATATGTGTGGTGACTGAAGAAGCAAAACATGCTGTGTGTACTTGGGGAGCAAAAGAGTTGCCATACGTGCCCTATCTGACAGCTCTCCGTAGGCAGTGTCTCTGCTATGCATGGTTTTTGCAGTGCTATGAAATAGGTACTCAGAAGCCTCCTAAGAAGTGTGAAACCCTGACTCCTCTGAAATTTCTGAATTTAATTTTGAGTTAGAATTTCTTCCATAACATTATATGAAACAAGAGAAAATCCCTGTGAAAATAGGGAGGAAGGAATTGTTCAGAAACCAGTTTTGAACTGGATTTAACGTGGCGGGACAGCCCTGGTATTACCGAGGACTATGTAGGTGCGGTAAGAGTACTGCATCTGCCACCGTGCAAATCCAGTTGTAATACTGGGGATATCCAGAGAAGTTTTTTGGTTTGTCTGCAAGGAATATGTTTGGTTTGGGCATTAGAAAAAAAGCAGGATATTTTAATTGAAAGACAGTTGCAGTTTATGGAAATGGATTAGGAGGCCAGACCTGTAGGAGGGGCCATCCTCTGTAAAACATTCCAGAACTGGCTTTGGTCTGAATGCTTTTACTGTAATAAACACTCATTACAGAAGTGATTCTGCAAACTCTTCCCCATCACAAATTGGCATTGGTTTACTGAAGTCAATATTGCTGTTTTCTTTGGTACGCTTTGTGGTGCTGGATAAGTGTGTGAATGCAGCTTATATTCTTAATTGTAGAGGAAAATTTCTTTTATCATTTAAATTACTGGTTTATTCAGTTGATTATCAATTTAGTCTGTTGCTAAATATTGAAATTATATGTTAAGATTCTGTTATCTTCATTATTCTAGCTGATGTATTTATCACTGAGGCATTTTAGTCTGTAACAAAAGTGTAAAAAAAAAATAATACTGTGGTACCATTACATAGAACTTTTCAATATTGCTTTAATTCTTGCAGCTATCTTACTCTGCACTGCTGAATGCAATAATTGTGTTTAATTAAAAATATTCCCTTACAGGTCGTGCTCATTCAGTCCCACAGGCTATTTTACAGAAATCAGTAGCTTCAACTTTTAAAAGCATTCCCTGTGCATTTGCAAAGTGCAACAGAATTTATGTGCTGAGAATAGTTTCATTCTTCAGTTAGGCTTTAAGTTTGACCCTATAAAAATTTTTACTCAGGAAAGGACCAGAATTTCTCTCTTTAAATGCTTCAGGAAAAACATAACTGTTTTGTTAAATAAACATGGCCATTTGATAGCGTAAATTAGGTTGGCGATAAAATGTGGAAATTGTTCGAAGGCATCTTGTATAAATTATCACCTTGGCTACACTCCTCCAGGAGGTGGCTTTTATCTCCGCTTTAACTGGAAATGAAAATTCACCATTACTGCAGAAAATGAGGGCTATCTTTTTTAGTCCAGGTTCAGCTAATAAATACTTTATAAATGTTTCCTGACATACATTTGTGATCCTGCTGGAAATGCAATGGGGAAGAAGCAGTATCAGAAGAACACGTTGGTAGCTTCAAATTGGGCTATTTGCATAATTCGAGTTTACAGAGTGCTGCTGCTCAAAGGCAAGTGCTTGTGTTTGGTGTGTGCCTGATGCTGACATTTAACAGGCCTTTGGGCCCCAGCAGCCACAAATAACAGCAAAATTATACCTCTGAGGTGCATTATTCATAAAATTATGTCAGAAAACAAATGAGCCTTTACCTTCAGGAAGTAGAGATTCTTCTAAATACTGTCTTTTGTCACAAAACTGCAGGAAGAAAATGACACAAGGTTTGTATTTTCTAAAGGCATTTTGCTCAGCACATAACCAAGACACAACATTGCTTTATACATTTTAGTAGCAAAAGAACGGTACAGCCATGCCTTGCTTACGTTGTAAGTGCAGTTTTCCAACTCATTGGTAACAACTGGGAATCCTGTTTAAATAGAAGTTTCAGTGGATCACCTTTTTTCTAGGCAAAAATATGAGATCATCCCTTTGGCAGTTAAGCAGTTGCTCTTAAGGAAATGTCATAGTAGGAAAACATTAACATTTTAACTAAGTTCCCCCCCTCAAACAACCCTCCCAAAAAGGACAAAACTACTGAAGTAGAGAGCCAGACTTGTGGAGTTGGGGAAACTCTATGCATGCTGCCAGCCCAGTATCTGCAAATCACAGGGATCTCATGGATAAGGATGTAAGGCTCTTTGCTAAAAAGCGAAATGAACTTTAAAGGAACCTGAAATGTTACTAATTTCTGTATGTTTCTGAGGTAAAGTATCCAGAGACACGTGACAAAATACAGCTTTCTTTCATGACACTGTGGTGTTTTTGTTATAAATAGGATGGGACTGGAAGCTCTGGTAGAATCTTATGCCTTCTGGAGACCTTCACTGAGGACACTTACGTTTGAAGATATACCTGGGATACCCAAACAAGGTAATAGTCTTCTTTGTGTTCTTTCAAAAGAAAAATGCATGAAGATAAAGTTTTGCCCATCATGCTTTACAAAAGTCTAGGTATGTCACTCGCAGAGAAAAAGCAACCAACCAACCCCAGTGCAGTCCATCACCTTTCATCAGAATTATTCTAAGTTAGAAAACTAGTGCTAACTTAACCACTGTGGCAATAAAAATGTGAGGTTATAAAGATAAACTAGATCACATGTGGAGGAGAATGACAGATTTTAAGGATGAAACAACCTATTCCTTAGTGTTATGCTCTGGCTAGATACATAGAGATCATTTATAGATGACAGCTGTATACATCCAAGCTCCAATGTAGCAATTACTCCTGTGTTTTAAGAGGAAAAAAAAAAGGAATGAGAGAAGGCCTCCTCTTAAGTAATGAATAAATAGTAGCAAGCTTAATTTGGTTTCTTCCTTGGAAAGCCTTCCTGATTCTTAAAAGACCTAAAAGTTGTTCAGTAGAAGTCCCAACAAACTTTATCTGCATCCTAGAGCTTGAAAAAACGGACCTCCTCTCCATTTTGCTTTTTCCTGCTCCCCGGTCCATAACCTCTTGGTTTCTACTTTCCCCATCGTACAGGTAGAGCTGTGAGGGAGAGAGAGATTTAAATGGCCTATTTGGAACGAGAGGGGAGTCTGTACTCTTTTTCTGAGTTCCTTTATTTCCAAAGTACTCCAATGCATATAGAAAACCTCTCAGCCTTTTCCCAACTAAAACAGACATCGTGCTTCTGATTCTTCACATTTCCTGCGACCAAATTTACAGTCATCCTACCTGCTTTCTTGAAAATCTATTGCGAAGTCATTAAGTGTCTTCAGAGCAAAAATCCAGAAAATACGGAAATACACAGAAATCACTTTTGTCAATTTCTTAGCCCAGTCCCTCAAGAAATCTTGAGCATCAATGCTTGATGTGAGAAATTAAAAAGGTGTTTTTGTGCCAAGTCACAGATATGTTAAATAGGGGTTGGCAGTTTTGGGTGGAGTATGGTAGTGAGGGACGGTCCTCACAAAAAAGGCCTGTAATGGGAAGTCAGCATCAGACCTGAAATACCTTGTCAGACTGTGTAAGACTGAAAGGCAACTCCCTATGAGGTTAATCTGTCTAGGAGACCAGCTGTATTGCCCTGTTTGTATGTAGCAGCACTGTTTGAGAGCAGGGGAACTGCTGCCATGAACTTCCCGCTTCCTTTTCTGCTGTTGCCTGAGATTAAGGAGTTTGTTGAAGTTACTGTTGATGTTCAGAGGATGGGAACTGGGATCCTTGGAAAATCTTCAGTTGTCTGTACCTTGGACAGTAGAGTGGTTTAGAGACTTGCTGAAAGACCCCATTAGAAATTTGGCCTGGTTGTTAATGCTGGAAACGCCCATCTTCAGGTAGCGGAAGTGTTGACATAGACTGGAAGAAAAATAAGTGTGCCTTATACCAGGATTTCCTAATGTGGCAGTGTCTCATCATGATTTGAGCTTGAAGTGTCCTGTCAACAGAGCAAGAAGCAGCAGGCAGAGTTCACTAATGTATTTTTCTTTTTACTAGCTCACCTATCGTGAAAACCTGTTAACTGACAGCAGGTATCCCTCTGCAGCATCAAGCTGTTTGATTGTTAATATGATACAAAACAGGAGAGTCTTCCTTGTTAAATGCCTTCTGCCTGGGAGACTGTGAAAGGCCCAAATTAATTTTCCTACGCTCCTTTTTCAGAGAGATACAACCTCTAAAAGGAAGCTTTAAACTTTCAGTCCAGAGCAAAGGCTTCACCTGTAGCAAGCCGTGAATTTTCAGGAGCGCTGAGCACTTGTATTTTTGTATGGTTGGAAAAGCATGACTTATTTTCTCTTTCTTGGTCAGGTAGTTTCTTTAAAAATATGCATTTGTTGTACACACACCCACTCCTGCACATGTATGTACAATATTTTTTGAATTAATGCGGCTCATGTTCCATGTCAAGGGTTATTATAAAAGAAAAAGGTCTTGATCTGTCACCTAGGGAGTGAACCTTTCCTAGCGTGCTTCTTACACTGTAATATTCTCTTCCAGGAAATGCAGGTTCCTCTACTTTACTCCAGGGATCTGGCAGTGGAGTGCCATCTACCCACCCTCACCTTTTACCGGGTTCCCCTTGCTCATCTCCAGCCTTCCACCTCAGTCCCAACACTAGCCAGCTCTGTAGCCTTGCTCCAGCTGACTACACAGCTTGTGCCCGCTCAGGCTTGACCCTGAACAGATACAGCACTTCTTTGGCTGAAACCTACAACAGGCTCACAAACCAAACCAGTGAGACGTTTGCACCCCCGAGGACTCCCTCCTATGTCGGTGTGTCGAGTAGCACAACTGTGAATATGTCTATGAGTGGCAATGATGGGGATGCATTCAGCTGCCCGCAGACTGGCTTATCTATGCAGATTTCGGGGATGTCTCCACAGCTCCAGTACATCATGCCATCTCCATCCAGCAATGCCTTTGCCACTAATCAAACCCACCAAGGCTCCTACAACACGTTTAGACTGCACAGTCCCTGTGCGCTCTATGGATATAACTTTTCCACATCCCCTAAACTGGCTGCCAGTCCTGAGAAAATCGTTTCTTCCCAAGGAAGTTTCTTGGGGTCCTCGCCAAGTGGAACCATGACTGATCGGCAGATGTTGCCCCCTGTGGAAGGAGTGCACTTACTTAGCAGTGGGGGGCAGCAGAATTTCTTTGACTCTAGGACCCTAGGAAGCTTAACACTCTCATCTTCTCAAGTGTCTGCACATATGGTTTGATGAAGCCTTTAAGTAAAAGTACAGTATGTTTGGTGTCTACAATGTATTTCTTTTGGAATATGAAAGGACACTCGATGTAGCTTGTAAAGTGTGTGTATATATAATATGAGAGGAAGTTTCACTGAATTTTTGACTTGCTTGTGGCCAGATTATTCTCCTATTTTGAGTTACACAGTGTTTGCTGCGGCGCAGACTGCTTTAGTTTTCTGGTGTAATACACTTAGTTGTATAACACATTGGGACATATGCAACAAATTAAGTAAGACTTCCTCCCCTTTCCCCCTCCTCTGTTCTAACCCCTTTAAAGAATGAAATGACACTTGGAGTATTAAACAACACAAACAAGCCCACTTACATTTCCTATAGTACTAGTGAGTTTCTTTAAAACATTCGTACAATGATAAGCTGATGCACCAAAGGCATTTTACAAGTTTCTTCTCTGTTATAAGGGATATGAAGGGTATTTGGACTTTTAAGTGTTAAGCATCAAGCATCCAGCCTAAAATAGAAGTTTAGCTAATGGATTATTTACAAAGTAAACGGAAAGATTAGTTTGCCTTCTCATGATATGCTGTTTTTAGCTTATCAACGGCACAGCATTCTCATTAGATTTTTTTTTTTTTTTCAGCATTAGTCTAGATTTATGATTAGATATTTGAAGACAAATAATGCATATCCAAATTGTGGTGATAGGAGTAATTTAAGCCAACAGCAGAAGAAGTGGCATTCCTTGATACAGAATGAACTTCGGGGTGCTTAATATTTGTCAAAAGAAGGGCTTGATGCATTTTTTCCTCCATAAATATTGCCTATAAGACATTTACTGGACAGTAGGATATTCTAATATATCTTTGTTTTTGTATTTTTACTTTTTTAAAGGAGAGTGCAGCTTTGATTTAGAAAAAAAAAAAAAACAAGCAGGATGAGAAATTCCATTATTGGGTTTACCCATTTGTGTGTATTGTATTTTGGGTTTGGGTTTTTTTAATAAGGGCAAAAAGTCCTTCATCCTCAGTATCTCATAAATACATCGCCTGTATCAATTGAGCAGTTTGCTTGCAAGTGTTTCTGGAAGCAGAACTTTGTCATAGCAGCCTCCCTGCTGCTCTGTTTCTCGGTAAGTTTTTGCCCTGGAATTGGAGAAGTTCCCTTCCTTCCCATCTCTGGTTTTAAATGGTGCTTGTAAGAACGCGGATCACAGCCTGCTCCTGACCAGGCTTCTCCAGAGTGACAAGGACACAGGGAGACATGTGTCATAGTGAAATTCCTGCCCTTGTCTGCACCTGCACAGCCCCAGTACACGAGTCCTGCTGTGAAAGCTGCCTCTCAGCTGCCTGCCTGTTGGAGCTGAACCATGGAGGTTGTGGAACAGATTTTAATGCTTGAGAGAATGGGTTGTCTTCAACAGTATGCCAAGTCTCCTTTACATTGTGGAGGTGATGTAAAGGCATCATAAAGTGAGTACAAATGTAGTTGACAATGCTTCCCCGGTCGACATTGAAGGAGAGTAAGGCCTTTCAGATTTTATGTTTTGCTCTGTTAGATTTTTTTTTTTGGTGAAGGTGGATTGTTGTGTTTCTCAAAAGAGTTTCTATGTCTTTTCTGGCAAACAGTGGGCTTAACCACTCCCA